GCCCTGGGGGAGGCTCCTCCGCCTAGGTGCCGACGACGGCGAGCCCCACGTCGTCTTGTGGAAGCGGGAGTGGACCATCGGGCGGAGAAGAGGTAGGGCCGCGGAGGGCGGCGACGAGGGACAGGAGCCGGGGCGGAGGAGGGAGGGGAAGGGGTCGAGGACGCGGAGGGAGGAACCGGAGCCGGGCCTGCGCCCAGGGCAGAGAGGAGGGCGGGACCGGGCGGCCTCCTGCTCGCTTGTCCACTCTTCTGAGCGCTTCCTACAGGTCGTTTCATCCTCGTTACCCTTTTCTTTTTTTTTCTTTTCTTCTTTCTTTCTTTTTTTTTTTTTTTTGGAGAGGTTTTCGCTAGAAAGACAGAGACAGACAGAGAAACCGTGAGAAATCACCCCTCGGGGGGATGGCCGCACCGCAATCCCTTCTCAGGATCTTGGGCACGGACGCACATGCGCCTGGTGTGAGTTTAAGCCACCAGGTCTGGGACTTGAACCGCACTCACCTACATGGGAGTCCAGCGACATAGCCATTACGCCAACTGCTGGTCTCCTCATTACCATTTTCTGAAGTGCAAGGTGCATTAACTGGATGCTGATTAAGCTGTTGTGGCCTGCCTTAAAAACCCATCCTGGGGCCAGCAAGCGGCGCGGTGTTAAGGCGCTGGACCCCAATAGGGTCAGCCAAGTAGGAGTTTGGGACTGGCAACTTGAAAATCAGGGGCCTGTGTGCCTGCCTGAAACCCCAGGAGGCCAGTGGAGAAGAAGGGACCGCAGCATGGCCTTCACCCCGGGAGGGGTTTCTCATTCTCTCTTTCACTGTCTCCAGCAAGCCCAGGTGCCCTGTAACAAAAAACTAAAGGAGAACCACCCCCCCACACACCAAAAAAAACCATGCTGGGCTTAGCTGGTGGCATAGTTTTCCTCGTAATTAACTTGTTTTTGCAGCTGTTTTTTTTTTTTTTTTAATCATTTATCATTAAAAAATATTTATTATTACTGTATTTTTAAAATTTGCTGCAGGGTACACTCACTCACCAGAGAGAGAGAAAGTGAGAAAGCAAGTAGCTAGGTCTGGTACTCGAACCACACTTGACCATATGGAAGTCCAGTGCCTTAACCACCATGCTGCCTGCTGACCCCTATTTTTTTCAGTCTTAAATCTCAATATCAAGTTAACTTTTTTTTTCTTTTTTTGGAGAGGTTTTTGCAATAGGGCACGTGCGCTCACCAAACAGAGACAGAGATTCAGAAAGTGAGAAATCACTCCCCTGGGGCGATGGCCACGCCGCAGTCCCTTCTCCTCCATTCTCCTCTCAGGATCTTGGGCATGCACGCACACGCACCTGGCACAAGTTTAAGCCACTGGGTCTGGGACTTGAACCGCGGTCGACTACGTGGGAGTCCAGCGACATAGCCATTATGCTAACTGCTGGTCCCAAGTTAACTTTTTTTTTAAGAGAGATTTTTTGCTATGAGATGTGTGTGCTTGCTGGAGAAACAGAGGCAGAGAGACAGAAAGCAAGAAATCACCACCCAGGGCGATGGCCACACTGCAGTCCCTTCTCCATTCTCCCCTTGGGATTTTGGACATACGTGCACACACACATGCATCCAGTGTGAGTTTTAAGCTGCTGAGTTTGGGACTCAAACTGCGGCCACCTGTGTGGGAGTCCAGCAGTGTAACCATTGTGCCATTGTAACCATCTACCAGTCCCTCAGCCTGCTTCTTAAAAGGAATAGTAGGTATTGCCTGCAAATCACAGGGCTTGTTGTATTCATTTGTGTATTGCCATAACACAGACCACATTCTGGGTGGCTTAAGCCACAGAAGTTTATTTCTTATGGTTCTGTGGGCTGGGAAGTCCACATGAAGGTGCCAGGTCAGGTTCCTAGGGGGAGGGCCTGTTTCCTTGCTTGCAGGTGGCTGCCTTCACGTGGTGGAGGGTTCAAGAGCTTTGGTCTCTTCTCTTTTTTATAAAAAATGAATTATTTTATTCATTTATTTAACTTTATTTCTTTATTTTAATTTGACCAGAGTGGGGGGGAGAGAGCGAGAGAGAAATTGAGAAAGCATGCTGCCAGGTCCGGAACTTGAACCGTGGTCAGCCATGCGGGAGTCCAGTGCCCTTAACCACCATGCCACTTGCAGACCCCAAAGAATTACTTTATTTTTAATTTATTTTCATTATTTTTTAATTTGACCAGAGAGAGAGAGAGGGAAAGTGAGAAAGCAAGCTGTCAGGTCTGGGATTCAAGCTAGAGTTAGCCATGTTGGCGTCCAGTGCCCTAACCACCTCGCACATCTCCTCCTCTTTTTAGAAGGACATCAGCTTTACTAGCTGAGAACCCCATCCTTATTACCTCATTAACCTTTATCAACTCCTCCTAGGCCTCATCTCCAAATACAGCCACGTGGTGGGGTTAGGATTTCAACATATACATTTGGGAGGGGAGGTACACAAACATTCAGTCCATCGCTGTTTTTAAACTTAATTATATTTACTTAGAAATGATTATATGCCTGCCGTCCATTCTATTTTTGCGCTGAGTTAATGTGTATACGAAGGGATGCAAGAACCTCATCTTCACAAAGAGCTCCCTGTTTGTCGCCAGGGAATGGCAGAAGTGTAAATCAAGCATGTAAGAGATTTAACTCACTAGATGGCAAGCAGGGCAAACTCAAATCATTCAAATTTTTTTTTTTTTTTTTTTTGGAGAGATTTTCGCTATAGGGCGCATGCGCTCGCCAGACAGAGAGAGACATTAGAGACAGAAAGCGAATCATCCCGCAGGGGGTATGATCATGCTGCAATCCCTTCTCCTCCATTCTCCTCTCGGGATCTTGGGCATGCACGCACATGCGCCCGGTGTGAGTTTTAAGCCACAGGGTCCGGGACGCGAACCATGGTCAACTACATGGGAATCCAGCGACATAGCCATTACGCTAACTGCTGGTTCCCGAAGAATCATTCTTTAGCACAAAGCATCACAGTCCCAAATTAGAACACTTATGTTTTGGTGTGGAGAGCCTCTGTTAAAAAGAACACTCTGGGGAACCAGCAGTTAGCGTAATGGCTATGTCGCTGGACTCCCACGTAGTCGACCGCGGTTCACGTCTCG